TGCCCTTGTATATGCCTCCTTCCAGTCGTGCCTGCAGCGGGATCGAGAGGAGGCAACTTCCGTCGACACGCCAAACATGGGTTGGGCCAACCGGTAAGCCTCCAACCCGGCTGCCGAGCTTACTTCCGTCCCGTAGCTAGGACAAACAACCTCTTATGAATCTTCCGTTGGAAATGCGGAAGGACGCCCCCCTTTGAAGCCGTTCTTGTCGTAGTTCTCAACGACCGTATTGACATAATCATTGTTTGTTCCTTAAAACGGACACCGCCATTCAACCCATAGCGCCCTCAATCCCTTAGTTTACACTTCTCGTCCTTCTCTTCTATACGATCCGCTGTCGGCGCAAATACCCTTACAAGGGTATCCGCCCTAGTTTTTGCAAGTGACAGAAAATAAGGTTTGTTCAGAATTTGAGTATACCGAGCGAAGTTGCGGTCGTGTTTTGCTCGCGTTGACTGAATGGTTGACGGGAGCAAAGTGTGTGTGGGCGCGCAGCTTTGAGGCGCGAGTGATGATTTTGTCTTGATGCTATAAGGTCGGTGTTTCCACCGGCAAAAATTTTGGCTTTGATTAAAACTAGGGAAGGTTGTTCATTATATTGGAGTGACCATGGTACATCTACGTTCCTACGGCACGCGTCATCGGAAATGGTGTAGCTTTGGGGCAGTATTGGGGTATGCGAGAGAAAGTAGAGCACAAGTGATGACCTCCGCACGGTAGAGGCGGGAGGTTGACGGTCGTGGACGGAGCCAGGCCCAATGAGCGGCGGGCGTCATAGGTCGGCAGTCGCGAATTCGGTCCGTAGGCAGAGGAGTGGCCTTGAGGTATTTTGGTAGGCCCGCGTGCCGTGCGGCAACAATTTATATTGAATTTTGCAGTGGTCCATCTCAGCCTTGGGTACTAGTATTATTGGTAATGGCAATGGACTTTCAAAGCGACGGTTCAGGGATCGAGGGCGGCGACCGACGGCAATAGAGCATTGGAGCAGTTGGAAATGCCGAGGGGTTGAGGGCCCGGCGGGGCCATCCCCCTTGGTTTTTGTTGACGGCCCATCCGTGGGCCCGGTCGGCGGACCTGAGAGGGGTACGACGGTCTCCCTTCCCCAAAGCACCGGTGTCCAACGTTCGTATTTTTATTTTTACCGTTATTTTTATTTATATGTATAAATATATATATATATATATATTTTTTCTCTTTAGTTATTTTTAGTTGTCGGTCCCGTTTTTGGCGCGCGGCGACAGCGCTGGTACCGGAGTTGTGTGCGGGGACCAGCGGGGCGTGGTTCAGTTGATACGCCCATTAACTGTTGAAACACGGACTGAGAATTTCAACGTGCATGCAAACCAGTGGGTGATTAGCCCACGAAGCGGAAGAGGCCTGGGTGGCGTGGCCCCTCGGAGGGTGCACCATCCGCCGACCACAAACTACTATGAGGGGTTAGTGTGAGCGTGCCCGATGGGACTCGAAAGATGGGGAATTGCGCCCTGGGCACGGTCGGCCAGGGGACACCAAGGCGGCTGTTCACATGGAAGCCTTCGCCACTTCGACCTTCAAGTTCTCATTTGTATATTTGCTACTGCCACCAAGCTCTGCGCTGGGACCCGTTCCAACTAGGCTCACGCAGCAGACGTCGCAGCAGGCCCGGAGGTGCTGAGGAGGGGCTCTCTGCAGATGCACTGCCCGTCGCCCACGATCTGCAGTGAGAGGTTTGAGTGTGAGCATGCCCGTTGGGTGCGGCAAGGTGCGAGACCGGTCCAGAATTGCCAAGGTCCTACAGTTTGCCAGTGCGCGTGCCCATTTGTTAACAGCCTGCGTAGCTGCGGGGCAAGGAACTTTGCGGTCACATCTGGTGAGGACATCATAATGCCTTATTTTAGTTATTTTATTTTTGGTATGATTTTCGAGGGCTGGTAAAAATCTGTGTACAAGTGTTCTTGCACAATTTTTGGATAGCGCCAAGCGACCAGCACTAAGTTGCCATTGCTGCAGATGACCAGGGTTTGTCCCACTGAAAAAGGTACAGCAGTATGGCCTGAGTCACACCCAATACCTTGAGATAATCTGTCCCAAAATCTGCATATTTTGCAGGTTTTTGGGCCCGCAGTGTGGGAGGACTGTGCTTTGGGCACGGCGGGGAAGGGCGGTGACTGCAGCAGCATTGGTTGTGTCCTGCTGTGCATTTGGAACCCTTCTCTACTTCGGTCTTCAAAGCCCTCACTTGAAGGGTTGTTGCCACCCCCAAGATCTGCACAGGGAGCTGCTGACCGAGCATAGCCGGTACACCCCGAGCTGCTGAAATAAGGGTTCAAGCTTGAATCCAGAAGCCTTTGAGTGGGGAGGGTGAAAACCACTCTGAGTGGCCTGGGCCCGGTCGGCTCAGTGGAGGTGTCCTAGTGCCGTTTTTCTGCCTGAAGTCCTTCGGGACATCTGTTAACATTGGAACAGTACAGAGAAGACTAGCATGGCCCCTGCGCAAGAAAATGACATGTATAAATCAGGATGAATGGGCGCTCCTTCGTACTTTCTCTGTAGTTTTCCTCCGAGGCTTGCGGTCGGACCAACAGCAGTTATTCTGCGCTACGGGAACGGATGTGCAGACTGCGCTGGCCTGCCTCAAGGACAGAAGGAAGGGAAGTGGATCTGGACGGGGGTCTGCGAGAGATGCAGTCGGAACAGACGAAGAACGGTGAAGAAGACGAGAAATAGTGGGGAAGAGGGAGCTTTATCTCACCCGTTCCTTGATAGAAACGGACGATGTGAGTCTTGATCCTGAGGTTTTGGGCCTCTGCGACCTCGAATCTGCCCTCAGATCGATGGTTGGTGGAACAGAATCGGAGGATGAGGAAGAAAAGGTGTGCGCTGAGCTATGGAGGAGGTAGACATGGAAGGAGTAGAAAGTCAAGAATACCACTCAATTCCTGATGGAATCGAGTGGAAGAAGAAGTTAGGCAGAAGTTTTGGGATAGGGCGAATGTGATAGTAAGGTTAGCTCTGGAATTAGAGTAAGAGGATGAGGGCTAGTAGAAGAACAAGGTGCGCGGAGGGTGTCGGAGGCATGGATATGGCGTCACGGGAAAACAGATAGATCGCCCGTTTCTGAACGAAAACGGGCGAACCAGGATTCGATTCCGGGGTTCTCAGACCTCACGAATCGATCTATGAACTCAGATTGATGAGGCGGGGGGCGGAAATCACAGCAGGAGCAGTGGGAGCTGCGCCCCCACTATGGAAACGGAAACTTTTGTATTCGGCCACGTTCTAGAGAAAAATTAATTTTGAAGGAAGAAACGTTGGAGCAGCCGGGAAGATTGGAGACTTGCGTGTTGGCCGGTGCGTTGCTCATCCTGACGATGGAAGTAGCCACCCACTTGCGCTCCGCGTGCATGGCTGGAAAGTGACGTATCTTTCCATAATCTAGCGAAAGGTCCATTCTCATCGCCCATAGTTGGAGCAAGAATCGGCGGGGTGGGTGAGCAGTTCCGTTTGGCCGGGCGCAACTCGTTTACGGAGTCGTCATCGGCATTACAAGAGTTGTGCTACACTTGCCTTAGCCTTCATGGGGATGCTCGTGCGTAGAGAGAGAGAGAGAGAGAGAGAGAGAGAGAGAGAGAGAGAGAGAGAGAGAGAGAGAGAGAGAGAGAGAGAGAGAGGAGAAATTGAACGTGCGTAGAGAGAGAGAGAGAGAGAGAGAGAGAGAGAGAGAGAGAGAGAGAGAGAGAGAGAGAGAGAGAGAGAGAGAGAGACGGATGACTCACCTGTCCGTTGCAATCCAACGTTGCCGCTTGTGCGCATCTGCTGATCGAAGTGCTCGTTACCAAAAGTGGTTCGCCGTCCTATGGGCCATAGATTGTGTCATGGTGACCTTCGCTGTAACACTCAGTCAGTCTAAACTCGCAGGTGCCGGTATCTGGCCGAGATTGCAGCCTAAATTCGGTGGAAGCAGGATACTAGCAAGAGAGAGAGGGAGAGCCCCTGGACACGAGGTCGTATGAAAAACATATGGAATAAAATGAAATGAAAATCTCCTACTATAAATACATCCTTCCGTGTTCCAACGTGAGTCCAACGGAAAGCTCACTCTCATTTGGCCAAGTTGGTGAGCAGTGGAGTGTGGCCTACTACCTGCGTGAGTCACTCGTCATCAGAATTACCTTCATCACTATCAGCTGCAGTTCGTGCGTCCTGGGCCTTCGGCATCGTAGTATTCACCCTCGTGAGTGGCCGTATCCTTCACTTAAGGTTGCCACCCCTCGCTGATCGGAGTCATGGCCTTCGTATGGCGGGAGGGAGAAAGAGTTATAGAGAAAGAGGGGCGGGAAGTATTCGACGTCGACGGGGGGGTACAGGCCAGGAAACGTTTGCCTGGCCTGTATCTAGCCACAATACAGCGGAAGGCTCGCTGCCACTTTAGGAAGGCGCAGAAGGTAGCAGATGGGGGCATCGATCTCATTTGTGTTCTCTTGCCACAATTGTAGGTGGCAGTGAACGGCCTGGTTGGCGCTGCACTTGGTCAGGAATAGCGGAAGTATACGTCCCAGTCCGCGTAGCTGAAAGAGGTGTGCACACTGTTGATACCGCATTAGTTGGCCGAGCTTGCCTGACGTGATCGTGGCCTGGTGCAGGGCGGTTCCAAGCGGAGTCGGAGTGGAGTTAGCAGAAAAGGCAGACAAGAGGGAGGGGAAACAAAGAACTGTTGTACACCTTGTTGCGTGGTCTGCTGTTTGGCTTGTTGTGGTACATATTGCACAACTGTGAACTGCCACCATGCCGCGCGGTGTCTTGCTATGCAAACCGCAGAGGTTGTTATACAGTTGCTAAGTTGTTGCTATACGGTAGTGGGCACGGGTGCTGTGTATTTGCCATACACTTGCGGTGTGTTCACCGTGCACATGCCACACGCTTGCCGCGCTTTGCCGCAGGGGCTGCGATGGGCAGTGTGGCGTCTGTTGTATTTTGAGCAGTGCATCGGTGAGAGCGGTGCTATGGCACCTCTGTGTTGGGATTGTGCGCAGGCACAATGCCTTACTGTTATGCACAGAGCCTTACTGGGGTTCTCTTACGGTGCCATTTTCTGCATAACTACGTTTGACTAGCTGGCTTTCACAGTGCTTTTGAGATCCGCAAATCTACCATTGGCGAGGGGCGGTCGACGGTTCTCCTATGAACGGACGTTGTGCGTTTGTGAGTGCGGGCAAGGGCTGTGACAGTTCACGCTTGAGTCGCTAATACAGGGTTGGGCTGTCATTTGGGTCTGATTGCCACCCAACCTTGCTGCTGGGTGCCAGAACCAGTAATAGGGAGAATCTCAGCGGACGGTTGCTACTGTTGAAGGCCAATTATACAACGGGGTTTTCAAGCTGTGTGGCTTCAGTTGCTGGGCGGCCTGCGGCCTACTGGTGTCTGCAAACGCTGTGTGTTATAGTAAAAATCAAAGTGGCATGGCTTGCTATATTCCGTTGTGCGCTTAACTGTGTACCTGCTGAGTACCTATCGTGCGCCCAAAGAGCTGACTACTGATGGATCGAGCAGCCACTACGCACAGGCTGGGCGCTGCTATTGTGCTGAGCGTTGCTGCTGTGTCGGGCTCAGGCTAGGCGTGGTTACTGTACTGGGCACTGTCTAAGACACTACGGCTGAGCAAGGCGCTGTTCTTCACTAAGAGCGGCGACGGCCTAGGCCTAAGAAGGGAGCACGGTGAGAGAGGGGAGTGATGTGATTTTTGGGAGTGAGGTCGGACTTCGCAAGGGAGTTTTTGCTGCAACTTGGGGGACTGTCTGAGGCTGGTATCCTGCATATAGCAAGAAAGTTGAGTACCATTTATTGCGTCATTGGCCACCATTGCGGGGCTCTCAGGCGCATCCAGGTAACGAGGCCCTCTCCAGTGAGTTTGAGCGCACCTCTCTTGGATCTGAGCTTCTAACCTTTCTACTTCTATCCTTCTTACCCTGTAGCGGACCCACCAGGTGTGGTGCTCCGCTAGTGACAGAGATGGAGATGGAGGAAGAAGGGGGGAGCAAGATGGCACAACGCAGCTCCCCACGCAAGACTCCAACGCACATACTCCAAAATGTGCAAGTGAAGAATGAGACTGAAAACAGACAATGGCTGGGGTATACCCCAGCGGACTGACGGGACTGTACTGGACTGGCTGGTATCGACAGAGGTACCGGCCTGGACTGGTCTACCCCGAATATAACACAGGCCTGTGAGAACAGGCCAAGGGGCTGGTCTCACAGGCCAACCCGAGGTCCGCTACACGATCCTCGGCCTGTGATGGATTGCCTAGATACAAACATGCTTCCGCCAAGAAGCGGAACTCTACC